TTCCCATTCCCATTCCCATTCCCATTTCCCCATCCCTCCAGCTGCCCGGTGTGTACCAACCTGTCCCAGTTCCCTTTCCCACAGCTGGCCAGGGGGACACTGGGTACCAAACTGTCCCATCCCACATTGCCAGTGCCCTGTTCCCCAGCTGCCCAAGGAACTTTCTGTGTCCCAAACTGTCCCTGCCAGCCTCACCACCTCCCTTCCCCAATAAAGGCCCCATTGTTCTCCCCACAAAGCCTGAACAGTGCAGCCTGCTCCACCTTCCTGGCCAATCCTCCCACTCTGCTATCAGTTTTCCTCCCTCAGTTGGTCGCTGTGTTTAAGGGACACAGTTCACTGCCACTCTGTCCCCATCCCTCAGGACGTGGCAGGAGGGGGAATCGTGGCAAACCACAGTCACAGTCTGTCCTGTGGAGCACATGGCCTTGGCTCTGTGCCCTCCTGCTTGTCCCTCCTTCCCTCTCAGCTCCCTGTGGGTGTTTCTGGAATGGACACCTCCCCACACCTTCCTGGAAAACTTTTACTGAGAGTAAAATATCAGTAAATCAATCTGGGCATGGCTATTGCTCATCCTGAACAAGCTGCTCCACCTGTCCCAAGCCCACCTCCTCCATCCCAGCTCCTCATCTCTGAGTGTTCCCAGTTTTAATCCACGGGATTTTCTGAATCTGAAAAAGCAGGCAGAGTGGAATTAAAAGCCAAGCACCTTGCAGGCCACACCGGTCTTGAGCTGTTCTACTAAGGGAAGAAATCAAAATTATTCTGGAGGCCACAGGAAGGTGGGTAAAGCCCCAGAGAAACCTGGGCAGGTGACACGGAGGTGTGACAAGGTACATTTGTACAGTCCCAGGGAGGCTTTTTTTGTCTCATTCTTGGAGGTTTTCAAGCCCTGAATGTACCTGGCAGGGTCCACCAGCAGCAAGATGGCCTGGAGAGCTCCGGGGGTCCTTTCCATCAGGAATTATCCTGCCATGGAATTTTTTGCAAGCCACACTGGATATCCACCAACATTCCCCTGCCAGAATCCTCATCCTCAGGGGGATTTCCCCCCCTTTTCCCCATCTGCTCTCAGAGCCCTGGGTTTGAATCCAGGCTGGCATAATCCAGGATGCACCTGAGGGCAGATAGGAAGGATTTTCCTTCTCTGTCCCCATCATCCCAAAGGGCAGCAGGACAGGATGGTTTCAAGCTCAGCCCAAACTGCCATCCCAAATCCCGTGTGTCCATCAGGAAGGGCTCATCCATGTTTTTATCTGTCACCTTTGTGACTGCCCCCAGAAGATACTCGGGGCCAGTTGTGTCATTGTCCCCAGCGAGGTCCCGATGGCAACCTCTGCCCAGGAAAGCACCAGCAGTGGTGGCACAGGGAAAACTCCCTGGATTCCCTCAGTGCAGGGAAAGGGCAGTTTGGTGGAGCAGCCTCAGGGCTGGCTGCTGCCCTGACGGTCTGGGATGCCCCATGCCATGGGCTGGACTGCTTGGGGTCATCCCAGCCCTGCCTGCCTCAGTTTCCCCTTGTTAAGGGGCTGCCAGTGGGATCCAGGGTGAGATTTCCCCACCCTGAACAATCCATTTCCATGCACCCATCTCAGCCCTGAGCCCCTGGTGCAAACATAGCCCAGCAGGTACATCCCATCCCTAAAAAGCACCTGGAAAGGGCCCCACCAGCTCAGCCCTGCACTAATTCACTGAAAATCCTTTGGAAAAGTGGCTGGAGATGAGGAGCTGAGCCTGTGGGACTCCCCAGCACAGGGGATATGGGGAAACTCCTGGTCACTCCTGAAAGTGTCTCAGCATGGAGCTACATCCCTTGCCTGGCTCTCCAGCACTGCCTCACACATCCCCACATCCCAAACCTCAGGGATCCCAAAACAATCTCCAGCTCCAAATGCCAGGAGGACACCCCCGTTTTTGTCACCAGACCCCCCCGCACGATTTAAACCCCTGCCCTGGGCGGGATGTTTTGGGGGGAGGCTGATCCTGCCCTTTGGGATGAGCCATCACCCCCAGAGCGCTTCCAAGGAGCCGTCCCCACGAGCCCTGCCATCCCCAAATTTTGCCCAAACCTCTGTCCCCGCAGGAAGGACAACGAGGGAACCCGCCAGCGGCTGCCACTCGCCTCCCAGGCCACCAGTCCGGCCGTGATTTATCATTAACTCGCCCCGAGGAATTTCTTGGGCGCGGAGCCAGCCCGGGAAGCGCTCGCTCCTCCCCGGACACCACGCTTGGAGCGAGCCCCCAGGGTGGCTCGTCCCGATGGTGCCTCGTCCCCACCGCGCTGCTAAACCCGAGTGATGCCCTAAAACCCGCTGGGGTGCAAGGTCTCGGTGCTGGAGGGGATCCAGAAGGGGTTTATAGAGGGGAGAATCGCAGTTTTCCCCACCCTGGACCACCCAGCTCTGCGCACCCCATCTCTGCTCCGACCCCCGCGGCGAGCGCAGCCCGGTGAGACCCCCCCCCCAAAAAAAAATCACCTAAAAAAGGTCCCAGCAGCTCAGCCCTGCACTAATCCACGGAAAACTCTTCGCTCCCCTGCCCGGCCCCAAACAAAGACACCCAGCGAGAGGGGGAAGGAGAGGGGAAGGAAAGATCCCACAAAAAAGCCGGCACCCACCGGGATTTACCTGGGCAGCCCAGGGGTGCATCCTGCAGCTCCCCATCCTCCTCCGAGCGCGAAATTCATTGTTTTCCTGCTTGGTATCCCGGGAAAAAGTCCAAAATAATACCTGAGGAGAGCAACCTGCTGCTGGGCTGGGGCCAAGGGCTGCCCTTCGCTCGGTGGGATTGGCCACAGAGCCCGCAGGAGCTTAACTCTTTGTGCCCAGCTCCGGCAGGGATTTTGGGAAGGGATGGCTCCGTCTTTCTCACAGGGGAATTTGGGGCTGATGGTTTGTTTTAGCTTAAATGGGAACTTTGGAGTCAGACGCTGGGTTTTCCTGAAATGAGGATTTGGAGTTTGCCTTTTTCTGTTTTCAGATGGGGATTTTGGGGTCTGAGAGCTTGTTTCTGCACGAATAGGGATTTGTGGATTTGGAAGGTTTTTGGGGTTTGCTCAAATAGGGATTTGGAGTTCAGAGGCTTGTTTTATCTCAAACAGTGAATTTGGGGTCAGGCTGCTTGTTTTTCTTCAAATGGGAATTTTGGGGTCTGACAGCTTGGTTTTGCACAGAGAAAGTTTGCTTTGCTCGACTGGAATTTTGGGATCTGACTGTTGGGTTCATTTGTTTTAATACTCTTTTTTCCCCCTCAAATAAGGAATTTAAGACTCTCAAAACTTGTTTTTGTCAGATGAGGAATTTGAGATTCAATTTGCTCAAACAGAGATTTTAGGATCAGACAGCTGGGGTTTGGGTTATTTTTCAAATAGGGAATTTTGGGGTCTGATGACTTGGGTTTGCTTAAATGGGAATTTTGTGATGAAGCAACTTATTTTGACTAAAATGGGATTTTGGGGTCTGGCAGCTGGGTTTTCCTCAAATAGGGATTTGGGGTCTGACTGCATGTTTTGTTTTTTGTTTGCTTTTTAAAAGGGGATTTTAGGGTCTGGGGGCTTATTTTGGTCCAAATAGAGATTCAGGGCTCTGACAGCTGGGCTTTTTTCAAGTGGATTTTGGGGTCTGACAAATTGGGCTTTTTTTTTTTTTTCTTCATGTGGGGATTGCTAAAAACAGCTCATTTTCACTCAAATAGTTATTTTGGGATCTTTCTATCAGGGGACCCTTCTCAACTTTGCCATCCTTCTGGGGATGCTTCCCAGCTGTGTGGCTGAAATGAAAGGCTGTGAAGAGCTCTCAAAGAAGAGCAGAGAATTGGATGGATGGGATCCATGGAATCCCAGAATGGTTTGCTTTGGAAGGGACCTTAAACCTCATCTCATTCCAAACCCTGCCATGAGCAGAGACACCTTCCACTATCCCAGGCTGCTCCAAGCTCCATCCACCTGGCCAAAAGCTGGACCTGGACTCTGCCCTCCTTCCTTTCCATGGTTCAGAGCAGATCCCTGGTGACACAGGATGGCCCAGAGCTCCTTTTCCCACTTTTCCCCCTTTTCCCGCTTTTCCCACTTTCCCAGCTGCCAGTGCTGAGGCAGGAGAGCAATCAGCCTTCCCATCAGGGGCCATCCAGCCTCAGCACTTACTCTGGATTATTTGCAGTCGTGGAGGGAGGGAAATAAAGCCACACAAAGCTACCCCTAATTTAGACACATTTGCTCAAGTGAATTTTCTATTGGCAGGATGTCTGGGGATCAAAGGAATCGCCGGTGTCGGTGAGCAAATAACAGCAAGAGCAGTAAAACAGCAATAATGCCAAAATAATCAAATATGGGTTAATGTGCACTTAAACCAGGGCAAAATGCACTGCTGGGGTGCACGGGGAAGGTGTAAATTATACCAGAATGCATTCCTGTGGAGATTTAAACTCTTAAATTTTGCCCTTAAGCTCCAGAAGCAGAGAATTCTGACAAATAGGCTGGGTTGGGGATGTGTGTGCAGCGACACAGACAGAGCCCTTTCCATCCCTGGCGCTGCTCTGGGCTGGCTCAGGAGCTCTGCTGGGACATGGATCCTTCCCAGCAGTGGGATTTGGGGCAGCTGCCCCAGCACAGGAGCTGCAGCAGAGGCAGATGTCACAGGAGACAGGCGGTTTCCTGACACTGCAGCTGGTGGAGGCTGTGCTCGTGCTCCCCTTGGGAGCTGAGTTATGTCTTAGTGCTTCCCACAGATGAATAAATCATGATAAGAGAGACTTTGGAGAAGGCTGGAAAATCCAGGATAACCCTCACTCCAGGTGGGGCATAAACTTTTGAACCCCCAACTCCTGTTTCTAACTCAGGGCTGAGCCAGGAACCTCTCTCCACCTCCAGCAGAGCCCCTCCATCACCTCTGAGAGCCAACAGAGACCCCCAGTTCTCACCCAGCACCCCTTTGTGCCGGGGCTCCTGCACAGCCAGCTGCACCCAGGCCATGGGACACAACCACCAGGACCTGGTCTCAGCCCTTTGTGGGGTTTATCCTTCCCTACTCTGCCCTTTTTGGGTGGCCATGGTCAAACTGTGTCACCCAGACCCAACCACCTGAGGTGACCTCCAGCCTGGGACTACAGGGTTGGGTTTACCCACCTAAAAATCCTTCCCTACCCAGCCACCATGGCCTCGCTCTGTCCTGGGGCTGAGGCTTTGAACATCCACCCAAAGCATTCTTCCTCTTGAAGAAAGGAAAAATTTACTCTTTCAAAATCCAAACTCTTTGTTCCCATGTCCTTCTGTTTCCTTTTCCTTGCAGCAGTGGCAGCCCCCTGGCAGGGTGATTTCCATTCTCTTGGAGCTGTTTCATTTCAAGATTCCCAAGCTCTCTGAGGTGCTTAGGCTGCATCTGCAGGATGGGTTCAGTGTTCTTTGCACTGATCAGAGGAGGAGGAAAACATCAGCTGCTGTGAGGTCTGAAGGAACATCAATGGCCCAGGACATTCCCCAGGGAGCAGGGCTGGAAAGCATTGGTGTGCTCAGGCATGCAGCAGGGCAGAGGTGGAGATGGGAATGGCAGCAGAGACAGAGGCTCCCTGCACTGGGATTTCTTCCTTGAAAGCTCTGGGGAGCTGCTTTTGGGTACAAGACATCCCAATGTGAGCAAGAGCCTCTCTTCTCATCACTCAGACTCCTTTATTTAGAGGAAAGATCGTTTTCAAAGCCTTGAAGAGCAGAAAAAAACCCTAAATAAGGATACCCTGGCTGTTGAACACACTTTGAGGCCATGGATGAAGTGGCATCTCCATCCCAGGATGTCTGAGTGCCTTGGCTGGGCTATGTCAAGGCCAGCCTGGTCTGGTGATGAAGACAGCTCTGAATTTGTGCTGGAGGCCTCCAGAGCTTTCCAACCAGCACCACGACAGCCTAAACCCAGCTCAGAGCTCAGCTGTGAACTGACTGTGCCTGTAAGTGCTTGACATCCCTCAGGCTGGACACTGAAAGCAGAATTCCTGCAGTACCTCCTTGCCAGGCTCTGTTTGAAGCTCTTCCCCACTATCTGTCATTAAAGCAGAGATTTCCAGCCCAGTTTTCAGAGGAAAGATCCTGTTTTCTGTGACAGTCAACGGGTGTGGAACATCCAAGGCTGTGTTTGTGGAGAGATGCTGCCTTGATTTGCTGTGAGTGCCCTGCAGGGATCACAGGGACCACAGCCAAACATGCAGGATGGGGCTGGTAGGGGAGCATGACTCCACCATGCCAGGAAATCCAACCTTTCTGCTGGGAAAGCTGATAAAATCCCCAGCAGCCTGCACAGCCTGAGCAGGCTCTGTGGCTGAGCTCCCAGAAGAAATGTCAGGATGACACCCAGAGTTTTTTTGTGCAAGGAGAAACTGGTTATAGGATAAAACAAACCTTCTCTGCACCTGGGGGTTCACCAGCACAGGGACATCCCACTGGTCTGGAATTTAAAATGCTGGGAGAGGCTATTCCTGCTCATTAATGAAATAATTTGAGCCTGTGTGAGACCTCTTCATACCCACACAGAGCTGGGGGTGGGAGAGGACCTTTTCTAAGCTGCCACAGGGGATGACAGGGGGTCCTGAGGCTGGGTTGACCCCAAAAGCTGGGTTGATGCCAGCTGCTGCAATGGGGGACCCTTTCCATCTCCAATCCATGACATCTGCCTGCTCAGCTTGAGCCAGCACGAACAAGCCAAAAGACTCTGGTTTATGTCATCCAGTGGGATGGTTTCCTATTCTGGAAAAAAAAATCCCTGCTGGTATAAGCTGTCTCCTCCTGTACCAGCACAGAGCAGACAAAGCCTCTCAGTGCTGGCAAGCCACAGCCTGGTGCACGGTCCAGGTCTTCCCATAAATCAGGAGAGGCTCCTGCATCTCCACTTGTGGGTGCTGAAAGCCCAGAGTGTGTGCTGGGTGTCCTGGCCGTGGGATTTGGGTCAGGTCTGAGCTGCCTGGGGGGGAGGATGTGAATTCTCAGGTTTCCCAAATAATGTCTAGAGCAGAGGATTGTGGAATCATAGTCATGGAATGGTTTGGATTGGAGGGGACCTTAAAGATCATCCAGTTCCAACCCCCTGCCATGGGCAGGACACTTTCCACTATCCCAGGTTGCTTCAAGCCCCAGTGTCCAGCCTGGCCTTGGACACTTCCAGGGATCCAGAGGCAGCCACAGCAAATCTGGGCACCCTGTGCCAGGGCCTGCCCACCCTCACAGGGAACAATTCCTTCCTAATATTTAGTCTAAATCTCCCATCTTTTAGTTTAAAACCATTCCTTAAGCATACTAAGGGTGATTATCCAGAATGAAGGAAACAAACCTCCTATTCACAGTCCCAAAGCATCAGGCCAGGCCTAGTGAAGATAAACTGGAGCAAACCAGCTTGCAGCCAGGAGGGCCAGATTTCCACTGAAATCACCAGGTGTTGAAGGATCTTGTTTGGAAGTGCCCTTTCTGTCCATATCAGGAATCAGGGATTTGTCACAGCCCCCTTGGCTCAGGGTGGGAGATTTTCTTCAGGGAGGAACATCAGGCTCACGATTAAATCGTGTGTGCTCATGTAGTCCCATCCATCTCCATCTCCATCTCCATCTCCATCTCCATCTCCATCTCCATCTCCATCTCCATCTCCATCTCCATCTCATCTCCATCGTGCCCAACCTCTGCTCTGGGGAAGAATTGGTGGCTGAGTGGCTTCAGCAGAAGCAGAAGCATGAGAATCCTCAAGTCTTGGGAAAGATCTTCTGGAACATGGA